GTAAAATACATTGCAAACCCCCTCAAAATGCTATATAAATTATAGTTAAATTATAAAATTTCAGTTGGATTTCTAGAAAAGTTTTCACAGTAATGAAGGAGTATCTTGAAATCTGTCTTCACAAGTAGTATCTCTTTTTTTGGTCTTCTATGTAATTAAAGTTCTGTGGAAAATGCTTCTTGCCAATTACAGAGGCTCCCATGACAGATGATATAGCTGGAGTTCCAAGTACAGGGTTTGTGTATAGATAGCATATTCTCTAGGTACGTAATGCCTCCCCAGCATAGAAGTAGGCGTCCAAGTCTCTGAGATGGCAAGCAGGGAGTTGTCCTGCTTTTTCTCATCTATCTAATCAATTAAGCTTTTCAGAGTCTTCACTCCTCTACCCTTAACTAAGATGAACAACACAATAGGAATTTTCCTAGGTTCCTGCTTATATATATGATATAGATAAAGAGCTACATAAAAATCTTAATTAGCTACAGATCATTGTCAAGGTTTTTCCTTCTTGAATAGTCATGAAATGATGAATCTGCTCAACTTGTTAGATGCATAGGCCTCTTCAGAAAGAGAGAGAAAGAAGATACTCTTGTAAGATGCACATTCTCGTAAATGAAATGGCTTATTGTTCCATCCCTGCCATGCTTCTGAAGTTTCCTCTGAGCATCAGAAACTCTTATGTAGCCTAGCTTCACATCTGGCCCTCACCTGAGCAATTTGAAGAATAAAGAGAAAACCTTCTCCTTTTCCTAAGGCGGTTACCAAACCTTTGAAGACTTCCTATGAAGAAATCATTTAAAATGCCAAAGATTAACAGCATCCACATTATCACTCATGGGGCTTGTAAGAAGTTCTTCATTTGTCTTGACTTCAACAAGGGATGCTGAAACCAGCAAGGCCTGAGTGAGGTGCAGTGACACTCTAGGTGGGGAGTAGCACCTGTTACAAGAGAGTCAACAAGACATCTGCTAAGCCAGAGACTAAACCTGTTACCCCTATATGTGCAACCTACTGACCTAGTTGGAAGAGTTTCTTGCATATATTGCCTTCTTTTGACCAAACATTAAAATTATGGCTAAATGGTCATTTCATCTTAGATATTCTTCAACTAAATTTTATCTATTACCTCTCTCAAATTATTTCTCTGCCCTTGAGTCAGGAGGACCTGAGTTCAAATCCGGCCTCAGACATAACACTTACTAGCTGTGTGACTCTGGGCACGTCACTTAATCCCAATTGCCTCACAAAAAAAGAAATTGCTTCTAAATTTTATCTAAGCTGCTGCAATAATCTAGTTATTCTTTTTTTTTTTTTGCTTTTTGGTGAGGCAATTGGGGTTAAGTGACTTGCCCAAAGTCACACAGCTAATAAGTGTTATGATGTGTCTGAGGCCTGATTTAAACTCAGGTCCTCCTGACTCCAGGGCTGGTGCTCTATCCACTGTGCCACCTAGCTGTCCCCAATAATCTAGTTATTCTTGATGAATTCAAGTCACCTGGCCTAGGTGATCTATATCCTTGGGCACTGAAGGAATTGGCAGATATGTTTGCTAAGTCTTTATCAATAATGTGTTTAGGTCATGTAGCAGCAACAGCAGCAATGGTAGCAGCAGAAGTTAACACTTAAAATTTTACATAGTGTTTTACAAGTATTCTCTCATTATGTCTTCTAGAGAATTCTCTCAACCAAGAGGGATGGGACCTGTTAAGAGAGGCACCTTGTCAGAGGGGTCTGATGACTATATGTCAAAGATAGGAAGGCAAACCGAATGTAAAGAAATATATTAGAATATTAAGGAAAACTACTCTCACTGATAACAACTTCATCATCCTAGGGTACAGATTTGATTTTTATAACCTTTCAGGCCAACTTAGAGAAATAGCCAATCAAGAGCACTTAGGATGATAGATGTGCCTCCCATATGAGGGAAAAAGAGTAGAGAAAGAGAGAATCAGATAATGGAGAAGGGTTAGTGCTATCCCGCTTTATTTTTAAAAGGAAGAAAACAGTCTGGAAACAAAGGGAACCTTAACTTCCACCCTTAGGGAAATTCTAAAATGTGTCTTTAGAGAAATATTTAGCAATAGAAGTAATGATTACAAAAAAACCTGTATAGCTTCATCTAGAACCACCATGCCAAACTAACCTTATTTCTTTTTTTAACTGAGTCTCTAAATTGGTAGATTAGGGAAATGCCGCAGATATAGTTTACCTAGATTTTATTAAAGGATTCAACAAAATATCTCTAACTATTCTTGTGGGAAGCATAGAGAGATCTAAACAAGATAGTAATTCTAGAGAAGGATTTAGAAATAGTTGAATGCATAAGAGTAGGCATTAATGGCTCAGTGTTAACTTGGCAAGGGGTCTATAGTGGAGTATTTCAAGAAAGTGAATTTGACCACTTGCTGTTAAATGTGTGTGTGTTTTTTTCATTTTTATCATTGAATTAGGTAAAGATATAGATTTCATAAAAAAGATTTCAGAAACTGGGCATCGACCAATATCTTACACCATTTACCAAGATAAGGTCAAAATGGATACATGACCCAGATATAAAGAGAGATTTTACAGGAAAAGTAGAACATGGAAAATATTACTTATCAGACTTACGGATAAGTGAACAATTTATGAATAAACAGGAAATGGAGAGCATAGTTAGGTGTAAAATGGATCATTTTGATTACATTAAATTAAAAAGTTTTTGTACAAATAAAATAAATGTATCCAAGATCAGAAGGAAAGCAGAAAATTGGGGGAAAATGTTATAGGCAGTTTATCAGATAGAAGTCTCGTATATAAAATACATAAAGATCTTGTCAAATCTATAAGAATATGAGTCATTCTCCCAATTGATAAATGGTCAAAGGATATGAACAAGCAATTTTCTAAAGAAGAAATTAAAACAATTTGTAGTCATATGAAAAAATGCTCTAAATCATTATTGATCAGAGAAATACAAATTAAAACAACCTTGAGATATCATTTTACATCTACCAGATTGGCTAAAATGATAGAAAAAGAAAGTGACAGATATTGGAGGGGATGTGGAAAAAACTGGTACAACTAATTCATTGAATTGTGAACTGATTCAATCATTTTGGAGAACAATCTGAAATTATGCCCAAAGAGTTATTAAATTACCTATACCCTTTGACATCAGCAATACCACTAATTGGTCTATTTCCAAAGATAATTAGGGAAAAAGGAAAATAAGATATATGTTTTAAAATGTTTATAGCAGTTTTCTTTGTGGTGGCAAAGAACTGGAAATTGCAGGGATACCCATCAATTGAGGAATGGCTAAATAAGTTGTGTTATATGATTGTGATGGAATACTACTGTGCTATAAGAAATTATGAGCTCAATGATTTTAGAAAAACATGGAAAGACTTGCAAGAAATAATGAAGAGTGAAATGAACAGAACCAAGAGACCATTGTATACAGTAACATCAATATTGTTTTAAGAATGACTTCGAGCAAATAAGTTATTTTGACTATTATAAATACCCAAATTAACTATAAAGGACATGAAGAAAGATGCTGTCTGCATCTGGGAAAAGAATTGATAAACAAAAATATGTATAGAATAATTTTACATATATATATATATACACCTATTTGTGTCTATTAGTAGCCCATCTCTAGGATGGGAAGGGGAGGGAAGAAAAAAAAAGAAATTTACATGATAATTTTGTTGTATATTCGAAAGGAATAGCAAGTTGAACATATCAAATTTACAGTTTTATATGCAATCATCTTTTTTATTGTACTATGTTATAGAAATGTTTGTTTTATTCCATGAATTAAAAATAAAATACAAAAGATATATATGTATACACACACACACACATATATAATACATGTGTGTGTGTGTGTAGTTTACAATCATCAGATTTAGGAATAACAGAAATCTGAGAAACATAGCTTGGATTATAGTCATGAGAAAAAGGATTTTGACAGACTAAAGCAGGGCTCAGAAAACTATATAGTGCAAAGGCCAATTCCAGTCCACCTGCCTTTTTTGTAAGGTGAACTAAGAATGATTTTTACATTTTAAAATAAAGTTTTATTGCATTTTTAAAATGTAAAAACCATTCTTAGCTTCCGGGCTATACAAAAACAGGTGGTAGGAAGAATTAGCCCCAGGGTTATAGTTTACCATTACCTAGACTAGCACATTGTACTGAAACTGATGAGATGAAATTCAATATAATTTTATACTTAGGTTCAAAAATTTGACTTCTCCTCTGTGTACCATACTGAGGAGATTAGTAAACTGAAGTAAATTCAGAAGAGGATGACCAAGATGGTGAAAAGTCTTGAGTTTATGTTATATGAAGATTATTGTAGGAACTGGGTAATTTTATCTTGGAGAGGAGAAGAATCAACGCAGACTTGATATCTGATTTCAAATATTTGTTGTAGAGAGACTAGATTTTTTTTTATTCATCTATTTAGTTGGCCCAAAATGGAAGAATAAAGAGGATCAGAGATTGTTTCCAACATAGGGTCCATGAGAGGAAAAAACTTTCTAACAATTAGAACTGTTCAAAAGTGAAATGGAATGCTCAGGAAAGTTGTGGGTTCCTTGTCATTGAGTTCTTTAAGCAGAGGCTGGAAGTCCATTTATTAATTGTATGTGTTATAGTAGGGATTTCTTTGGGGTATGGTTTGGACTAGATAGCTACTTTGGACCTTTCCTAAACTCTAAAATTCTGTGATTCTGTGATTTCTGCCTGACTCACTTCTCCCCCTCCCTCCGCCTTCTTCCAAATGTCTTTTATGTACTGTCCTCTCCCATTAGAATTTAAAATAATGGAGAACAGGGTTTGTCATTCTTTTTGCTTATATTTGTGCCTATAGTGCATGGCATAGTGCCTGGCACTTAGTAATTGCCTGCATATTGCTTCATCTAATAGACTATGAGTTTAAGTTCCTTCTGTTATTGCTCTATTCATAATTAATCATTTCCTCTTATGGTAGTTACACCTTCAAATTCAAATGCTTCCCTTTATGGAAGAAAAGCAGTAAACTTCTTATAAATAATTCCTAAATAAGAATATCTAGGACCAGAGAAAGAGAAGGCATGTTCGTGCCTGAGTGCAGGAACTGAGGTTTATGATATTCACAGACATCTATGAAACCAGGGTTTGTAGGACAGTAGAGTTTAGCCCTTTATTCAAGAGATGTCCCCAAAGCTGGTATTTTTGGAATAGAGAATAAAACTCCCCTCTCAGGGCTGGCAGACTCAGGATCACTCCTATGCTTCTCAGGGTTTGTGTTCAGCTCTCCCTACAGTCTCCATCACTGTGTCACTCAGAACACAGTAGTACACAGCAGAATCTCCTATTTGGACTGAGGTCTTCTCCAGGTAGAAGGAAGATTCTTCCTTAATCTTTCTGGTCCAAAATCCATTGTTGTCTTTCTCTTGGTCTTTCCCTGATGTTTCTCTCAGGAAGAGCTTCAGAACTTCACTGGGATACTGGATATACCAGAAAAGATAAGGTATATTAATGGTCTGATAAGAGCAGTTCAGTGTGAGTGATGCTCCCTCAAGGAGAGTGATGTGTCCTTCTGTCTGGGTCACTGAATCTTCATAAGTGCCCCCTGAAAAACAAAGAGAAACATTTACTGTAATTAGAGATTAAAGATCTTACTAAATTAATAATATATGTTGAGAGTGACCAATGTCATTGTACTCACCAAATAATAACAGAATCCCAATCACCAAAGTGGGAGTAGAGATCATGGCTGGTCCAGTGGTTGGGAGGCAGATGTGGGAGAAAGAGTATTTCCCTCCCTGGTCCTTCTCTTCCAAGTCCTTTTGTACCAGGATACAGAAGGCAGATATTACTATCAATGTTACTAATTTTAGGAAAATATCCTTCTTTTTGGTTCTGAGGTTGGATGCATAGACTCTGATCTTAGCCTCCCTCTCAGTCCTCAAAGTTTGGAGAAAAGTAAAGAAAGAGAAAAAGGCAGAATTGATGCAGAGACTTCATCACACTAAACTGACACGTGACTTTTCTAAGTTGAGAAACAATGCCCTCTTGTGATTCAACTCAGGAATGGCTTGAAATACTTCTTTGAATATCTAACCCTGTCATCAACTACCTGGCCTTAATTCCAATCAGACAAAGGCATCACCACTGTCTAGGTTGTCTATGAACTATGCCAGGTCTTAGAAAGTCTGAGATCTTGCAAGAGTATGTGTTTTGGTTTCTCTCATGAATGATAGCTGCTCTACTTTCTCAATTTAGTTGTCTCTTTCTTTCTAAGTGGCCTGCTGATTGCCTTTCCTGCCATTTTGTTATCTTACTATTTCCCTCTTCCTCAAATTTTCTGTCACTTCCTGCCCCTCTTTTCCCTTTCCTTGAATGCCAGGCCACTGTTTTGTCCTTAAACTTATTTCTACTTTATGCTTTCACACACTCTGATGTCCGTGAAGGAGGTGTAGGTAGAATTATACAAGTCCTTTCGGATTCTTTAGCGTGATGACTAGGAAGTCTTGTCCTGCTGGACCATGCAATGGCTGAGAGGTGGAACGTGATGTGTGGAAATAGAACAAAATGGAGAAGTCAAGAACTTGAAAGTGCAGAAAAGTGAATACTTCAAAATGAGGAGAGTAAAGGAAGGTTAGCAGAAGGGCATAATCAATATGAATAGATAGAGAAGAAGCTGTGTGGCACCTGGCTGCTAAACTATTTAATTCTCATCCCAGTAGCACTTCTCCCTTTAACTTTGCTCCAACATTTTCTTTCATTATTTGAACTGTCCCATTCTATTTCACTTTAAGGTCTTAGGCTATAGAGCTGGAAGGAATATCAGAGATCATCACATTATGCCCTCTCATTTTAAAGATAGAAAAACTGGGGTCCAAGATATGACTTGATTTGCACAAGATGAGAAGGGTAAAGTACCAGAGTTGGGTACTGGATCCAGGGTGTCTGACTCCAAATGCAGTACTCTTTCCACTACACCACAGTGCCTCTGTCTTGGACACTCTTTCTATCATATATATGCTAATTTATCAACATTTTAGGCTCACAACCACTGATACAGACACACACACAAACACACACTCACAATTCGTATTTCCATATCCAGTTCATATTTAGTTTACCATTCTTTCCTTTAGAGTTCTCAATTCATTTATAATATCATTTTTAAACTTGTTTTATTTCTTTTGGAAATTCTAATGACCGTGTTGCCAAGCTATGGTTTTATTTGAGATTTTGCTTGTTGATGTTGTAGAGATATTCTCTTCTGGGTTTGTATCTTGGGCTTCCATGATTCCATAATATTTCTTTATTGATGGTATTTTTTATTTGTTTATTTAATCATTCTTCCAGCCCTAGTTCCCAAATGGGGTTTTTGTCAGGGTAAAGTTCTGCAAACTTCTTGAGCAATTCTAGTACTATAAGCAAGTACCTATATTAACCAGGTAATATAAGTTCTGACTTATATTACCTTGGGTACTACCACTGTTTTCTCCAAGTATTGAGTGATGAGTTCTTGAAAGATTTCAGGGGTGGCTCAGGCCAGGGAGCTTCAAACTTACATCCTTTCCTAATCAGGCTGATCTTGGGTGCCATCTGATCACTACTCTCCTGGTATGAGCTTTGTAGGTTCCCACAGGTGTTTCCAGTTCTGATAGTTAATGAATTTAAGCTTATTCTGTTCTTACTCTATCTCTTGGGAGTTATTTCCTCCTACAGTTATAATTTCAAATTCAAATGCCCCTTCTGAACTTTCATATTACTATTGAGGGCACCATCATCCTCCCCATCAAATAGACTCAAAACATAGGTTTCATTTTCAACTCCTCATTCTCTCGGACTTACCATATCCAATTTGTTGCAAGTCCTCTTGATTCTAACTTCATACTACATCTTGCATATACCCATTTCTCTCCTCTGACATTGCCTATTATAGGCCCTTATTACTTCATGTCTGGAATATTGCAATAGCCTGCTTTCCCTTCCCTTCCCTTCCCTTCCCTTCCCTTCCCTTCCCTTCCCTATTTCATCTCTCCTCACTCTAATCTGTCCTTCACCCATCCAGAGTGAGTTTCCTAAAATTCAGTTCTCCCTCCTATTCAATAAAATCCAGTGGCTCCCTATTACCTGTAGGATCAAATATAAAATCCTCTGTTTGGCATTCAAAGCCCTTCATAATCTAGCCCTCTCCTATCTCTCCAGTTTTCTTACAAATTCCTTCCCCTTCCCTCCTCTGCCATCCAACAACACTGGCTTCCTTGAGGTTCCTTGCACAAGACTACATGTCCAGACTCTGAGTAATTACAGTGACTGCGTTTCATGCCTGGAATACTTTCCCTCCTCATTTCTGACTCCTGTATCTACTAGCTTCCTTCAAGTCCCAGCTAAAATTCCAATCCCCTTTAATTATCAGTGTCTTCCATCTATTAATTATCTCCAGTTTATGCTGTATATAGCTTGTTTGTGCATAGTCATTTTCATGAATCCTCCATCAGACTTTAAGCTCCTTGAAAAAGGAGACTATCTTGTGCCTTTCTTTTTATCCCCAGAGTTCAACACAGTACCTGGTACATAGCAGGTGCTTTAATAAATGCTTATTGACTGAAAGAGCTACCACACCTGAGAGTAGGGACTGGCCCAAAGACAGACTTCTCTTCTCCACTTCCCAAGCACAATCACACCAATGCTTATGAAAGTAAGGTTTAGCCTTTTCCCTGGGGGATGTTCCCACATGTCCTTGTCTGGGAGGAACAGAGTCAAACCCCGCTTCCAAGGCTGGCTAGACTCAAGATCACTCCTGTGCCTCTGAGGGTTTGTGTTCAGCTCCCCCTGCAGTCCCCATCACTGTGTCATTCAGAACACAATAGTACACAGCAGAATCTCCCGTTTGGACTGAAGTTTTCTCCAGCTGGAAGAAAGACTTTTCCTTAATCTTTTGGGCCCAAAATCCATTGTTGTCCTTCTGCTGGTCTTTTCCTGATGTCTCTCTCAGGAGGAGCTTGAGAGCTTCATTGGGATACTGGATATACCAGAAGAGATAAGGTGTTCCACTGGTCTGATAAGAACAGTTCAGTGTGAGTGGTGCTCGCTCAGGCAGGGTGATGTGTCCTTCTGTCTGGGTCACTGAATCTCCATAGGTACCCCCTGAAAAACAATGACTTTAGTTACACTCACCATATAAATCATTAAATTCAGCAGTTAAAATATGAGTTTAAAGATCCAACTAAACTGAAAAAATGAGAGTGATCAATGCCATTGTTCTCACCAAATAGTAACAGAATCCCGATCACTGAGGTGGGAGCAGAGAGCATGGCTGATCCAGCAGTGGGGAAGCAGATTTCGGAGAAACAACAAATCCTTCCCTGGAACTGGTCCTTCTCTCCCAAGGAGAAGGCTACAGAAGGCAGATTCAATGACCAACGTTTCTAATCTTAAGCAAATTCACCCCCCACCTTTTTTTGTTGTTGTTCTCAGATTGATTTTATAACCTTAGAGCTCATTCCTCATCTAAGGTCTTCACAGTTCGACATAAAGTGAAGACATAAGAAGAGGCAGAATTTGTGAGTAGAAACCATCACAATAAATTGACATGTGGCATTTTTGTGTTGGAAATCATTGCCCTCTTGTGGTCAAGTACATGAATAGAAGTGAAATATTACTGAGTGCCTGCCAGTATCTTCAGTCTACTACTGTTCAGTCTCATTTCCAGTGGGGTAGGGCAGAAACTGGGGGTGAAGACAAACTCATCACTACTGTTCCTGTTTTCTAAATAATATGTCAGGGTATAGTATAGGTCTGATATCTTGCAAGAATTTGCCCTCTAGTCTTTCTCTTACATGGTTTCCATGTCTCTTTCTCAAATTAGCTTTCTTTCCATCCAAGTAGATTGCTGGTTGTGTTTCCTGATTTTTTTTTTACCCTATTGTCTCTCTCTAGGGCAGCTAAATCATTCAGTGGATAGAGTGTCAGGAAGACTCATCTTCCTGAGTTCAAATGTGGCCTCAGATACTTACTAGCTGTGTGGCCTTGGGCAGGTCACTTAACACTGTTTGCTTCAGTTTTCTCATCTGCAAAGTGAGCTAGAGAAGGAAGTGGCAAACCACTTCAGTATCTTTGCCAACAAAACCCCAAATAGGGTCATAAAGAGTTGGACATGACTGAAAAACAACAAACAACAAAATGACTGAAAAACAACACCAAAAAAATCTCTCTCTCTTCCTCAAGATGGCTCTCTGTCATTTTCTGCCTCTTCTCTTTTTTCTTTTTTCTTTTTCTTTTTCTTTCTTAGATAAATAAAGCATTTATTAATAGCTTACTATGTGCCAAGCACAGCACTAAGTGCTGGGTATATAAATACAAGCAGACCAGATAGCCTCAGTCATGAAGGAACTTGCCTTCTAATGGAGGAAAATAAAAGAGAACTGAGGAGACAGAGAAATCCAGAGGGAGTCAAATGAGAAATGAGGTGGGTATGGCTAGAACCCCTCATGAAATGTGGTCTTTTTATAATCTTGATGTCCAATTATTATTAATTTCCTGAAATTGGTTATATTTTTATCCTATTTCTCCTCTTCTTTCCTGTGCAAGGCAAAAACATAATTCTTATTGGATTCTCTAGTACAATGTATAGGAAGGCTTTGCCTGCTGTGCTGTATAATAACTGATAAAATTTGAAGTCTCTGCAAGGAAGAAGGTGGAAAAGGTAGGACCCTAGGAATACATGCCAAGAATATTAGAGACTGCAGAAATGGAAAAAAGTAAGGGAAGGCCATAAGAATGATGTGTTAACATGAATGGGAATAATTCAGGACCTCATTACCTTTTCTTAGCTGGACTATTTATTGCAATAGCTTCCTAATTGTTCTCCTTGTCTCAAGGTTCCATGTATTCCAGTCCATTCTTCTCACAGCTACCAAACTGTTTTTCCTAAAGGTCACATCTATGACCATGTTACCTTCTTACTCAGTAAACTATTGGTTCCCTACTATCTCTAGAAGGAAGTACAAACTCCTTTGCATTTAAAGCTCTTAACAATCTGGCCCCATCCTACCTTTCTAACCTTATTGAACATTATTCCCCTTCACACACTCTGTGGTCCAACCATATTGCCTTACTGACTATATATATTGACTATTGAGCTAAATGCCATGTATTGACTTATTCCTCTTACATGACATTCAATCTCCCTTCTCTGTGCCTTTATGTACATTGTCCCCCATACCTGGAATGCTTTCCATCATTCTTGGAATCTAGTGTATACAGAGAAATGTTATAAGAAGTATACAGAAACTACTGTGTAGTTTCCTTTAAAACTCAACTCAGTGTCATCTCTGTGTGAGGTCCTTTCTAGCTGCTAGTGTCTTCTCCAAGTTTACTTTGTATCTACCTTACGTATAGTTTAACTGTACCTACAAATGTGATTGGCATATAACTACATGTTGTCTGCCCCATTAGAATGTAACCTCCTTGAGGGTAGGGGTTGTTTTTCTTTTGTCTTTGTATCCTGGGGGCCTAATATAGTTTCTGGAATCCAGTAGACAGTAAATCATAGCTTATTTGCCTGACCAACTTATTTCCCATCCCAGATTCACATCTTTATTGTATTTTCTTCTCATATCTCCCTTCATGTTCTTTTTTGTCATTTTGTGTCATTTTAGCATCTTAGGAGCTAGAACTATAAGACACCTTAGTGATCATCCAATCAAATTCCTTCACGTTACATATTAAGAGTCTGAGGCACAGAGAGGGGAGGTTATTTGCCCAAGGTCACTTAAGTAATAAACAGTCAAGTTAAGATTTTTATCCAGGACCTCTGTCTTCAAATTCAGGAGTCTTTTGATTGTATTGTTTCCATTTTGTACATTCTTCCTATAATGTGCATTCTATAACTCACTGACAAATATATTAGCATATTCACAATTATAACTCCTCTCACCATAAATGATACATGCACATAGATTCACTTATACATTGCCACACAGGTCTAAGTGTATTGGCTTTTCTAAACAGTCCACTTCTGAATTGGAAAAGGGGAGGAGAGAAGGGTGTTCTGTAGGAAAAAGAGGGAAGAAAACATTTCCATAGGGAAGAAACTTTCCACAGGGAAGACAACATTTCACAGTGAGGTGAGGGATTTTGTAGCTTGGATAAAGGTCCATAATTTAGAATTGAAAATATAAGCCTCACATTGTCCAAATAGTCCTGGGTGGACATTAAGCTCACCCTTCTCTTCTTCTACAATATACAGTAACTATTCAGGCAGTCTCTACCTGTTGCCTCTCATTCTTGCAATGTTGGTAGCCCACCTCTTTTTCACATGCATCCTCCATAATGGTTTGTGCACCACCTTTCATATTTTGTGGCAACATGTAGTTTATGCATCTCTGTCATGCATTTTTTCATTGCCCTATGTATTATTGGTAGTTTGGATTTTTCTGAGATAGTCACTAGGAAAACACTGGCATTATGGACATGGGCATTCGTAGCAATGAGCATTGTGCATAACTGAATGTACTGTACAATTTCACCAGTATTGTCCAATCTATTTTCTTTCTATTGAGTTCTGGGCCCATCTCCTCATTCCAGACTCCTGTCCAAGTTGTACATATTGATAGACTATAAAGGCAAGCTTTCCATCTAGCTACATTGCTATAGCAGTAGCAATATTTTATTTATCTTGCTTTTCAGATGTGGATGACTAAATCAACCTCTTTCTCATTGCCGTAGGTTTCTCCTGGGAAGCTTTGTAGTGCTCCAAGACTCTATGCAATTAACACGATGTCATCTATAAATAAGTACATTTGAAAAACTTTGCTCTCTATGGGGAATCCTCTGGTTCAGATTCTGTGTATGACATCTCCCATGATACAGACAAATATCTTAGTTAAGCATACACTTCCCCAATTGATGCCTTGTTTGATGTCGCTTCTCAGTGAAAAATCAAGGTTATCTCCATAGTTCTATATGTGATAGAATCATTTGTGATTTTAATATATGCATACAAGAAACCTCAAAGATGTCAAAGCTTCATTTTGTTCTGCCAAGTCAAATCATTTGTTTAAAAACCAATAAAAACAGACAAGGCAGGGTCTCATATTTTTCCCTAGTTCTCAGCCAATTTTGTGACAGGATAGACTTAGACCACTGTATAAAACCATCTTCAAAAGGTAGCCTACTTCCTTCTCATGTTTTTAATGAGGATATCTTCAATATATTCATAGACCATTTTCATAAAAAATTTATTGAGATGTGGAAGCAGAGATACATAGTTTGGTTTTTGCTCATGTCTTCTCAGTTGTAGTTAATAAATAGGAATACTTTTCATGACCTTTCATGTTCCTTCAGAATCTTCTCCTCTTTAAGATAACTTGAAAAGTGATCCCTGAGACAATTTTAATTTGGACTGCTTCCAGAACAGCTTTCTTATCCATAGATATGTCCAAATTCTGCTGTGCTTCTTTATTTAAGACAATAGGACTTAGAGTTGAAAAGGACCTTAGAAAGCACATAGTCCAACTATCCTTATTTTATAGATGAGGATATTGAGGCTCAGAGGGGGTTTAGGCGACTTTCGCAAAGACAAAACCATAGCAAGTAACATAACTGTGGTTTGAACTCTGGTCTTTTAAATTCTAGGGAGCTAAGTGGCACATCAGATAGAGCACAGAACTTAGAATTAGAAAGACATGAGTTCAAATCATGTTTCAGACCTTTATGAGCTGTTGATTCTAGACAAGTCATGTAACTCATCCTCAGTTTCCTCATCTACAAAATGGGGATAATAATAGTACCTTCCTCATAGTGTTGTTCTGAGGATCAAATGAGAAAACTTATGTGAGGCGCTATATAAATGCTTGCTATCGTTCTGTCTTAAAACTCAATGATTATTTAATGATTTAAGACAATTTAGAAAGACTCATAACGAAAAACGCCATCTACATCCAGAGAAAATCTTAATTCAGATCGAAGCATAATATTTTCACTTTTTTTCTTTCTCATGGTTTTTCCCTTTTTTGTTCTGATTCTTCTTTCACAACATGACTAATGTGGAAATATGTTTAATATGATTTTACATGTATAGACTATATCAGATTGCATGCCCTCTTGGGGAGAGGGAGGGAAGGGAAGGAGGGAGAAAAAAAATTTGAAACTCAAAATCTTATGCAAGTGAATGTTGAAAACTCTCTTTACATGAAATTAGAAGAAAATAAAATACTATTAAGTGGGGAAAATCCAATGCTTTTTTGGTTCTGAGTGGATGCATGGGTTCATGTTCTTAAGTGTTACCGCAAATTTTTACACATATTGCACAAAAATGCTGGTAGACACCTTCAAGAAGATGGCAGAGTGGGAGGTGGCAAGAGGATTTGTCAATATGCCCCTCAGAAAGAAAAGTAAAAAATGCCCAGAAAAAGCAAAACTATCAGATGTTTACAAAAGAAAATTGTTTTTTAGGGAAAAACACTCAAAGAAAGGTATGAACAAAAGAATTTTCCATGTAATAGAAAAATAACAATTTAAAGGAATAAGACAGCAACATTAGAAAAAAAAATGTACTCTACATCAAGAAAACTAGAATTTCCTCAAGACCTATTAAAAGGTATAATGCACTAAGAAATGGAACCAAAAATATCACAAGAAGAAATAAAAGAATGAGTATAACTTTAAAACTTCATGACAAGATAATGATGGGACTCGACAAT